GCCGGTCCTCCGGAGATAAAGGAGATGATTCCCCGGGTAGGTTGGTTATCGTTGTTATCTGGGTCACGTCGATGACCCCCCTCCTCTCGTCTTTGCTGTTGATCTCGATTATTATCTCGGCGTGGAGGATCATCACGGCGCTTATTTCGAGGCTTATCAATGTATTCGCCTAAATGGCCTTGTTTGATCATCCTCTCAATCGCCACTTTGAGTTGTGCACATTCCTCTGTAGCATGCCCTCTGTCCTTGTGGAATCGACAATAACGATCCGACTTTTCTAGCTTTGCATTTGGCTGCATAGGACGTGGAGGCTCTGCTAAACCTTTTTGTTCTATCACGTGAAGGATTTCCGTGAGGCGAGTGTTTAGCGGAGTGAACCTATTGTAGGAGGAAGAGGGTTGGCCTTAAGGTGGAAGTGGTGGACGTCGATCATCGCACCTCCTATTGTCCTGGCGGTCATCTTCCCTTTTCCTTTTAGGAGGAGCATGGGTAGAGGCTTCCTCTATCCGGACGTATTTTTCGGCTCGATTCAGCAACTCCTCTAGGTTGCCTGGGGGTCTTCCGGCGATGGATTCTTTGAATCTACCCGGTTTCAAGTTCTGCTGCATAATCCCGGAGAGCATGTCTTATCCTACACTGGAGACTTCATGGACCGCTTCTACGAAACGCTTAATGTAGTTGCGGAGCGTTTCGTTATCTCTCTGTACTACAGAGAAAAGATGAGCTGGGGTCTTGGCATATTGTTTGTTGATGGCGAATTGGTTGGTGAACCGGGTTGACAACCGAGCGAAGGTGTCAATCGACCAGATGGGTAGAGAGTTGAACCAATTCATTGCCCTCTTGGAGAGAGTGGTGCGGAAAATTTTGCACATCGCAGCATCCGTCGGGCCATATAAATCCGCCATGGCACTGAATTTCTCTATATGCTCATGTGGGTAACCCCGAGATCTTTACTCCTTGAGGTAATACCTCGTTGAGAATGTCTATGGTGAAGGGACTGCGTCTTGTCGGGACAGGCATTCTTTCACCCATTAGATTATTTGGTTGGGGGAAAAGATTTTGATGAGACATTCTGCTGTTTACCTCGCTTTCTCCCTCATTAAAGAGAGGGACTCTCTGTGGTGATGCATTCCCCCGTGGGGGTGAGCGCCGACCCTGCTATCTGGGCTGTGCCCCTCTGTGATTAGTAGATAGCTGCACTCGGGACCGTGGGTCCGAGGTAGAGGAGGAGACACTTATTTGATTCTGGATTGGCGGTGGGGCCACAGGTGGCGCTATAGGTGGAGCTGGCGCTGGTATCGCATTGGGAGCGTTTGCTCCCATCGTGGTGATACATTGAGTTACGGCCTCCGTGGCGGCGCGAGTTGAGGCTTCTGCTATCATGCGTTGGAGCGCGTCCTCGGTTGTTTGAACTGTTTGAGGAGCAGGGAGTGGTGGATCGGCGAGTGGTGGGTCCCGAGGAGGGATCACCTGAACCTCGCGAGGTGGATCTGCCATACGTGGAGGAGCTGGCTCCGCGGCACGTGGGGGAAGTGGCTCTGCGGCGCGTGGAGGAGGTGGTATGCCAGATCCTCCACGGACTGGAAGGTTATTAGCTGTGTCATTTTCTCTCCGAGCTGACGCCTCAGGAGGATCTTGTTGGCTACGTGATCTGGTTTGCATCGTTCCCACAGACGGCGCCAAAATGATGATGCTAAAATATAGCTCACCTAGGGTGGTGTAGAAAATGAGTTGGGAGAGCAAAGCGGATCAGTAACTTGACAACTTGATGATCCTGAGGTCCCTGCGAAATGAACACACGTGAACTACGCCAGGGGTTGATCCGGCGGAAACCCCTCCGACGCTCAAGTCAGATATACGGATTGCGGAGATGGTAGAGAGAATTCAATTCTAACTTGTTGATGAATAATGAAGACGTACCTTTTCAAATGAGTAAAACATCTATTTATATATCGGTGATTGGGTTGGGCTTACTTTGTTGGGCCCAAGCCTTACTTTGAAGGTGTTTGGACTTTCGTGTAGTGGGTCTAATTAGTAGATAAATTTGAGGGCATTGGGCCGGCCCATTTAGGTATATCATTAATAGTAAAGAGTAAGATACAAATGAAACACAAAACATAATCAATTCTATCAGATGAGAAGGAAAACAAAATAGCTGGATGATTTTTTTTTTTAGTAAAATATTTTTTTCTGATAAAAAATAATGTTTTTTTTTAATATGTGATGAGATGTATTTTTGTTTTTGGACTTTATAGTTTCAAAATGATTGCCGAATAAAAAAAAATTATTTCACATTTGGCATCCCAAAGAATATCACTAAAAATATCAAATTGCATTTATTAGCTTTAAAAATTCATTTCGGGTGCATTATACATGATATATTGTATCTCTAGGGTGAAAAGTGATATTAATTTTTTTCGAAGGTGCAATATATCAAAATGGTATATTTCAAGGGTGCAAAGTGAGATTAAGCCTTTATTTTAAAATAATTTTATTTCATTAAACATTTCTTTCGAAATTTTTTGGCAATCTGTTACATGCTTCGTATGAATTGTCAAAAATATGCACGTCACTCGCAATGTATTGTATTCGGTACATTCGGTTAAGGCATTTGTTGTCAAACACATTTTTAATAATTATTTGCGTTAAATGGAGAATTTTAATTAATTAATCATTATGGTTGTACAAGTTAGGACCAAGGATGTACTCGCCTTTTGTATACGAAATCTTATTCATAGGTTTTATTTTTTCACTTATTTTAGCTTAATTAATTACTTACACCAAATATGATCAGTTTTTTATATTTTTCTACTATTTTATATTGCATATTAACTTTTGATCTCATATTTTTGAAATCATTTTTCCTGATCAAATATTTGCATTCATGATGAAAATCCCCATCATACAGGTGAAAATACTACTTTTAATTATAAAATATAAATTATAAATATATAAATGGCTTAAAATGGAAAAAAAAAGTAACATATGCAATGCATGGCAAATATGTAGTTCAAATAAATGAGATTAAATCACATCCTAAAAACAAAAACAAAAAAACATTTTATCTTCTTAAAATTTTGGGAAAATGAGAGATACCTTTAGTTTTGAAAATATATATGGATAGATCCTATGAATCTTTATTTCCTGATTAAAAAATCGAAATTCTAATTTTAATTTGACAGACCCCCTCAACAAATTGAAATACATGTTTTACCCTTTTAATATCAATTAAAACCCTAACCCTCTAGCCTTTCCTCCCTCTCCTACTCCCACATCTCTCAGTCGACATTTATCCCCCCTCTCCCTCTCTCTCTCTCTCTCTCTTCATCTCTCTAACTCTCTCTCTGCCCACAGTCCTCCGCCGCCGCCGCTCCCTGCGCCGCCGTTGCTGCTCCCCCACCTCCTTACACCGCGCCGCTGCTCCTCCCACAGCCTTGCACCGCCGCCCCTTTTCGCGTGCTCGATGCCAATCGCCGCCTTGAAACACCCGTCCAAATCGAATAGACTCGATGTTGCCAAAAACATGATGGATGAACGTTTGTTTGTTTTAAATTCGTTTTAAATCTATTTCTACTTCCATTTGATGAAATGGTTTCTATACTTTCTTTGGTTGAGGGATGGCTCAAATCATATCTACTATTTTTTATAAAAAAATAAAAAAATAAGATCTACTATGTTTTTTTAAGATATGTGAACAATTAATATTAAAATCTTTTTCTTTGGATTAATTTGATTTTTTTTATTTTTGTTTGATTCTTATGTTCATTTTTGTTATAAATCATATGTCTTTTATTTTTTGTATTTATTTGAAGATGATCCGAAATGCCTGAAGTGTGAGAGCTATGTTTGTCTGTAATAGAAACTTAATCAGTAGTGGTTACTTAGATGGGTGATTTGGGTCAGGTGAATATACAGTTATATGTAGTCATATACAGTCATATATGTAGTCATGTATAGTCATGGATACATATAACTATACATGACTATAGAACTTGAAGTATACTATAGTCATTTGTAGTCGATTACAGTACAATAAATTTATCAACAAAAAAAAATTCATGTTTTTTTTTCATGTAATCTAACTCGCATGTTCCATTTTGCCCTTTAACTTGTATTTTTTTGTCACAGGTTTTTTGCTTTGTATAACATTATGAGATGCAAAGAATAAGACGCAGATAAGTGTCATGTGAAGTTGATGATACAATATTCCAGACTTATGCCACTTATGTAACTATAGTCACGTGTAGTAACATATAGTTATATGTATGCTATGTGTTTATTAATGTATAGTGATGCATGTTCATGTTTTGAAGATTATATGCACGATATTGTGTTTTTTTCTTCAGTTAGTTGACTATCAAGATGAAAATTATGAATTTTGTTGTTGGTGTATAGTAATTTTAGGGTAAAAAAACATTACATGATTACATATAACTATACTGATGTGATTGTGGTATATACTATAGTTAGGTGTAGTATACTATAGTCAATTTCAGTACAGTAAATTATCAAAAATAATAAAAAATAAAAAAATATTAAAAAATTCAAAAAATTCAAAAAATAAAAAAAAAAAATTAAAAATTCAAAAAATTCAAAAAAAATTAAAATTAAAAAATACAAAAGAGGGTATGTATTAAAAAATAATAATAAAATAAACATTTATATTTTTTATTTAAAAAATCTATAAAAATGATAAATGCAAGTCAAAAAATGTTAAATGCAGTTGGGCATTATCCTGAATGCAAGGGTAAAAATACTGAATGCAGTTGAGCGAAAATTGAACTTAAGGGCACAATAGTACTTTTGCCTCTCCAGAGGTATCTCAAAGAAAGAATTTTAGGGGTTGATCTATCCCTATATATTTTCCATACGAGGAGTGTATATTCAATGGACCCTAAATTTTTTTATGGATTATCCAAATATTTAAAAACTGCAATATTGTGTTATATATGCATTCAAAAGTGAAAAATTAGAGCAAACAACCGTACTACGAGTGATTCTGAAGCTGCAAATTTATCATATGTCAATAATGCCACGAATAAATCGATCACATCCCTATACAGAGAAATGTTCACAAGCTGCACACGCAAACACAATATACGAATCAATACTAATTTGACTATTCGAGTAACAAAACTTGATCTCTTGATCATCTTAGTGGCCGAATCGATTTTGAGGCCGTTATCACACTTTGGGTCCAGTTGTGGTTGACCAGCTCTAATGATCTTTCAAGTTTATCACAAGCTTTAGAAAGATCATCCTCTGTTATCGGAGAGTCGTTCTTCAGGGCAAACATTACTTCATCATCATCATCGTCAAGCTGGAGGTAGAGCACGCCTTTGCCAAATACCTGTAAAACCAAAAAAAAATTAGACAACCACGGCTTCGATATGAAATAACCATTTTCTTTTATTTTTTTGTGTGTGTGTATGTGTGTGACATTCCACTTCTCACCTTCTTTAAACTCGAACGTACTGCAACTTTGGTAGGTGAGGACCTTGAAACCACATTAATGACGAATAAGCCTTCCTCGGAAAGGGAGTTTTTCGAGTTCTGAAGAAAAGATTCCTCAACAAAATCTTCTGAAGGACATGACAAAGGAGAACTGCACAATAACAGTAACTAGATAAAACAAATGAAAACCAGACAGAGCAGAAATTAAAGATATTAAAACTCGTATAATTAATTAATTGCCTTTTGTATGGTGAGTCCGCATCAACTATAAGTATGTCAAGTTTCCGAGCTGCAAGAACCGCAGTGCAAACGTTTTAGTAACTTGTAGCTTAGTTGAGCATACCATCTTTGTTTTCTGCAATCAATTTCTTTTTTTTTTACCTGCCTCACAATCTGCTTTCTCCCTGACAAACTCAATTCCATCAGCTATACGTACCTGAACAGGAAAAATAGAGAAATAAAGGTACGTGCACTTGTCAAAAACCATACAAGGCATTTGATTTGCATTTAGTTAGTGAAAACAAAAAAAAAAAACAAAGAAAAAAAGAACCAAGGAAATAAATAATAAAGTACTACATTTTACCCGTAATCGTTCATCTTCTTTAAAACCGAAATGTTCCTTAGCAACATCCACAACAACCTGATCTATCTTGATAACCTGTGAAAACAAGAACTTGCATGAGGACATATAGCAGAATAAAAATGGTACAAAGTGGTTCAGAATTTCATTATACCTCAATGTTTAGATTAGGTATCCAATTCTTCATAAACATAGCAAGCATTCCTGCTCCAAGACCGATAACCACTGTTTCCACCTGGAAAAGAGGGAAATGACACCTTCAGTTTAAGACCATATTTGAGAAAATAAAAATAAAAATGCAGACTGCTCTATTTCATAAGACTTATATTATTTATTGATATGCAACACTCCATAATACCATTAATATTGGTCGTCATAATTTTGTTTTTTTTTTTTGTTTTTTGCCTTGTGTTCTTTTCTTTGTTTGGTGATCAGAGAAAGTGGATGGCTCACCATGGGCCGAGTGCAGCTAAATCCTTTGAGATGGGTAGAAATCAACATCAATCCAGTAATTAACGCATTGTTGTTCATACGTGCCAAAACGTTGTGATCAACTTTCCGTTCATTACTTGATGCTTTGTGGCTCTTACTTCCTAGTGATATAACACAGTAACTATAAAAAATTTACAACTACAAAGGTGATTTATCCCATCTTATGATTAGTTACAGTTACAGTTAGAAATTTAAAAAATTTGCCTCCCAAGGGAAAATCACTGATATTTGATGTCCATATTACCCAGAAACACAGGCCAAATTATTGAAAGAGGAATTCAAGCACTGACAAAGGTCGATTGGTTATCAATCTAATTAAAATCACCACATTTCTAAAAAAGTTAACAAAGAAAAAGAACAAGGCGGAACCCTCACCAGATTTCTTCTGCTTTCCTTTGTTCATGGTTTTTGAAGGTGTCTGCACTTCTGTTAAAAGAGCTTCTGATTGGACCACACTTGGGGATCTGTGGAAAGAAAGGCGGCGGAAAACCATATCTTCTAATTCGCGATTTTCATCACGGTCATGATAGGTCACATCCTCTACGACAATTGTCCCCGTCAAGGCAGATGTGACCTGGCATTTCAGAATAAAGTTTATTCTCTTTCTTCCTTCCATTTGCTATGGCTTCTTTTGCAGTTCATTGAAATTCAGTAACCTCAATTTTCATGAAACTATGAGCATATTAATTTCGTAATTATGGTACTACTCATAAGAACCATACTACAGAAGTTACTTAATCTAAACATGAAAGAGGAACGAAAAGTAAATATTAGAGATCTTGTAAGGAAGTGACAAGAGATAGTAATAGTTATCCAACCTCGTGTACAACTACTCGCTGGTCAATTCCTTCACTTGAAGTCATAAACCTGAAAATAATACTCGTTTACCATAACCTCTACATGTGAGAAAAGGCAAAAGTTCCGAAACTAACATAATTGAACTCATTTCTTCCTATACTCATTAGGCATCATGCTGGTACAGAATAAAACGCATTTGACTGCTTTCTTTTCTCTCATTTTATTAGTGAACCACAGCTCAACCGTGATTAACATTAATGTTTCAGAAAGAGATAATTCTGATTGCAAATGATGAAAAGAATGAATAAGTTTGCAGCTTCAACTTCTCTCACTAGCCCATAAACCAGCACTTTCTTGTTTTAAGTTTCCGGAATCTAAATAAGTTTTTGTTACTCATTTTTCAACAGCCTTACGGAAGCACAAGCTACAACAGTGATGTCGATATCATTTTTCAAGTGTAAAACACTCATATGAGACGAAAGCTAGATCCAAAAAAACTACACAGATGAAATATTCTATTGGATATCCTATTAATGGATAATATCTGGTGATGAGCACTTACGGAATTTCATATGTATCATCACAGAGTCTTGGAGCCAATTGCTTGACTAAAGGAGTGAGATCAGACTGAAACAAGGAAAACCGAAATTTTATCAAATGTAATGAAATGCAAGAATGTACAGCTATTGAAAATATAGTTGGATATTACCTGGATATAGTCCATAGAAGCACCAGAATTGCTGTAGTTCAGAAAAATCTAAAACAATCCAAATAATCTTATACTTAAAAAAAATGAAATAACAAAAGATAAGATAAATGACGAAATTAAATTAAGTTTATCCGTACAGGAAATATCTTACAATCAGTAATCTAGCAGTGTCCGAGTCTGCGAGAATGATCTTTTGTCCTTCTTCTGATGAGAACAGCCAGACATCAACTAGTATCTGAAACAAGAAAACATTGAGGGTTTCAAGGTCTATCGCATACTTCGAAATAGGAATATGTAATAATAAATAAAAGAAAGAAAGTGCAACAATGGTGCCATTTTTGACAATAGCTGAATCGAAAATTAGTTAGCATATTCTTTTGTAACAAACAAACAAACAAGCTCCAATTCAAAACATTTCTACTTGAGAAAACAAGTATAAATAAACCAGAAACTTTAAGGATATCAAAACTAAGATAAAAGAACTAACATTTGGAACGAGATATACAGCAAAGTAATCTGAGAAATTTGATCCTGAATCTTGCTGAGCATCAACAAGTACACCAATGTAAAAATGGAATACTCCAGGTTCACCTAAAATAAGCTTTATCATGCGATCTGGTTCAAACTCTTTAAGGTTTCCTTTCGCCCCAAGACTCAGTTCTTTAATCGAGTATAATTTATTACTGCCACTGGAGCACTCTGAACGAACCTTTTGCTCTCTTTCAAGTGCTTCGTAGAGTTCACGAGCCTGAAACATGCTGAAAAGGTTAAATCTCTTTCTATAGATATAAACAATATGTTGAACTGAACTAGCAAAGAGCATTAAAAAAACCTCAGCCTATAGCATCTGATTACCTGATTACCATGAGATTCAACAGAGTATTTATCCACTGCTGATATCTCATAAACAGAAGCACAAGTATCTTTCTCAACAACCACCATAAAGGTCTGCGGTTCTAGGTTTTTAGAGGATGGTTCCTTAGGAATGGTATAAAGACTCGTTTTCCATCCAAACCGGAACATAGAGAAAAGAAGAGCTGAGAATAAGAGAATCAAAGCTAAGAATATTTACAAAAACTCTTGACCAATTTCATACGAGGAACAATACCTGACACACGGGATTCTGCTAAGGTGAGACAAATATATTTTCCGCCATCTTTTAAAAGCCTTTTTACCTGATAATGAACAAAAGGAAAAGGATAAGCCAAGCTTCTGGACCACTCAAAGAAACAAGATACGAGTTAAATAATACACCTCAGATAAATACAGACGCCCTAATTCATAGCCAGGGTCAGGCACCATTAATGCATCCAATCCTCCCTTGTCGACAATGGCATCCAAGGTCTTATCTCCAAACTAAAAATAAACCAATCAGAAATAATGAGTTAATTTGCAAATTTGACGAAATAAATATTAAAAGACAGTATGCAAATTTATCAAAGAAATAGCTAACAGAACTGACTGTATGCGAGTTATTTTAAATGCATAAGGTCCTCTATTTTCTGCATGTACAAGTATCGATCCATAGCATTGGTGGTTGGTGATCAACCAGAGAAACTGGAGAATTGGAGAATTTATTGTAAACAAGGAACCATAACTAAATCATCAATCAAAATAATAGATTTTATTCATTAAGATTTTGATTTATTCTCCTCCTCGCCCATCTACTCTGCAATTCACATATGCGAAAACACCGTTATAAGATAGGAGAATGAAAGAATAACCTGTTGAAAGTTAACGATACAATCACGATTTTTCATACCAGAAACTTGGATGTGTAATCAGTTATGTCAGCACTATTTCTACATACAACTGTACTTGTAAGTATATTTTTCTGCTGCATCACTATTGCCGCAAGCTCCGTAAGTCAACTCACAAGTCAACGTTCTAGTCAACCTATTCATCTAACTCAACCCCAGTAGAAAAACTATCTCAAGGTAGAACACAAAACTATTTTAGCATTAGGCCTCAAACATCCATCCCAAGAACAACAAATATATAATTGAATTTATTTCAGAACAATTACTCAAATCTATTTTAGAACTTTATTTTAAAGAATTAATGAAGCAATTTACATTGTTTCAGACGGCGGAGAAACAGCAATTACCTCAATTCTAGCCATATCCATAACACGCCACTTCATCGTCGGCCGTTCTCTCACATTCCTCCTCAGCATATCAGCAATCACCACCTTCGAGAAATCCACGTTCGTTATATCCGTAAACCCAGCATCATACAAATGCTCCGACAGCTTCGAATTCCCGCATCCCGGCACCAAAATAGCCAACTCCGCCGCTTGTACGGCCGGCGGCGCCTCTCCGGCGATTTCCGGCAGAAACGACGACGGCGATAAGAGCTGGGTCGTAATTAAGCTCTGGAGTTGCGGCCACTCGGCGTACCATTCGAAATAATCGCCGCCGCCTCTCGTGGTGAAAAATTCGTCCCAATTCTCTCTGCGCGTGAAGTATCGAAAGGTTTTGAACAGATCTTGTTGATTTTCCCCTCCGGCGGTGGTGTTTTCTTCTGGTTGTTTCTGTTGCTGCTTCTTTTTTCTCCCCATTTTTTCTATGGTGCTTCTTCGTTTCTGTGTGTGTTTTCGGTGTGAATTGCGGTTATTGGGGTTTTCAGAGTTTTGGGATTTGAAATGAAAGAGAGCGAATGAGGAAGTTAACGCGCGGCAATTGGAAGAATCGAACTCTTAACTGTTTACTGTTTGTAATTTGGATGTATTTTCCACTTTTAGTAGGTGTTAAAACACACAGTAATAACTAGTAAGTTTTTTTCTACAACCAACCTAACAAATTCAGATTCCAATATCAAGGATATGGTGCAACAAAGTAATTTACTCCAATTATGTAAATTGCAGTTATTGGAAAGAAATTTTGTAAATTCGAAAACAATTAAAGAAACTTAAATGATTTACGGGGTACAAAAATTACGAATACTAGTCATTGTGTTCTCACCTTTCTCTCTAAAAACACCCAACCCACCCAAACCTCTCAAAATTCACAAAAACCCTCAACAATCCTCCCAAATTCGAAAATCAATCAAATTGAAAGGTAATTTCTTATCTAATTTAGTTATATGTGTGTAATTTGTGTTTCATTTGTGGTTGAACATGTGAAAACCCCAAAAAGTCGCGTTTTTTGGGTTGTTTTTGTTGCTGGTGTGCACCATTACCACGCCCAAAGCGAGCATGAGAAATGAGTTTTCACGCCTAAAATGGGCGTAAAAACAATTTTCACATGACTATTTTGAGCATGAAAATGTGGTTTCTGCAACTGTTCCAGGCGCCGGCCAGGAGTTTGCACGCCTTGGCCGGGCATGCAAATCCCTAACCGGCGCCTGGACCAATCGTATGGGTTTTTTTTTTCTTTTCTGGTTTGGCGCCCGGTCCAGGCGTACAAATCCTAGCAATGGACTGGGCGTCGGTTCAAAATATAATTTTGTTTTTTAATTTATTGATAATAACAATTTTTTATTTTTATTTCATTCATTAGTTAATTAATTTGCATAATGTTCATTTTTGTAGATGTCGACGAGGTGGCCACACGGACTAAGCAAGGGCCCGATGACACGTGGCATGTGACCAGATGGATTTGCTGGAAATGAGGGATCGATCAACATAGACTACTGCACAACAAGAGTGTAGGACACACAAGCGCAAGGTTACTAAATCTACACAACGGGGCGAATGCAATTTGCGACCGGTCGAGTCAGTGGAACATATGGATCCATCGCACGATGAGGATGGTGAGAATGCACATGTAGGATTCCAGGGCTAATATGTTTTTCCGGTGCCAGATTTTTGGATTAGATGGCAATGAGCCAATGATGATGACAATGTCGTTCCCGCACCCCCGACTACTTTGACCGGTGCTGCTGCTACTTTCTCCGAGTGTGCTACTCATCATCGAGGTGGTACTTCATCCGATGTTGCTACTCGTCCGTGGAAGTTGATTGAACTGGGTGGACCTACTGACTATCACTTGACACCGAGTTTCGGAGCGCACGTCGCTTATGACATTTGGGAAGGAAAGGTAATATTTATTAATTTTTATTGCTTTTTTAAATGTGTATAGTAACATGGTTGCATACTTAAGATCGGATAAATTTTGTACAGACGCGATATATGGTTAAATTGCAATCCCGTACGAAAGCCGTGACTGGTTGGCTTGGGCCAACAGATGCTCGGTCTGTTGCACTGTTAGAGGGTACATGTTTGTACCAATTGCAGCATTGTGTACTCCTTCAGCATAATAACCCACTGATAAAGACATTCGTTGAGAGGTGGCAGTCGGACATCAACACGTTTTAAGCACTCAAACCGGGCGCGGAGTACCCGACCGGGCGTCCTGTGTGGGCGTGAATCGGGCGTTTGCGTGCCTTGTTTGGGCGTGAGACGTATTTTACGGAGCACATATTGGTCGTGAGCCACGTTTTCACGATTTAAAGAACAAAAATGAACAAATTTTACCTCATTGGGTTGTGTATCTCGATCCTCATCCGATGCAATCATTTTTCTTTGTAATCGCTACAATAACATGGGTTTCGGGATGATTTCTAATTTAAAAGGTTGAGAATTTTTTTTCTAGAGAGAGAAAGATACGTAGAGAGTGGATTATTTTAAACCCGTATTTGTAAAAATACTACCGCGAATATCACCTCCCTTAAAACAACATATAAACTTCATAAATATCGCCAATCGAAACCAATTCCGATGAATTATGGCCCAATAAGCTAATTTGGCCCAAACAATATCAAGGAAAAGAGTGAGGCCCAGACTGGTCAGACGGACAAGAGGCTGCCATCGACCAAAATCATCGGCTAGAGGTTAGGCGAGTAGAAAATGGCGAGCTGAAGAACGACTTAATTTTCTGACATCATTTAATACAAGTCCAATAAGATCGTTGGTGCATAGAATGTTTCTACTTTTATCACATGCAGATATCCAATTAATATTACTTTGAGCAAATGGCAAATAGGCCCATGAAAAGGGACTAAATGCACATAAGTCCAGACAAGAAATAGTCTCGCACTTAAACCCATTCCCACGTCTTTTGTCTAAAATACCCCTCATAATATAAGTTTCATCAATTTCATCCATTATACTCTAACTTCATCAATATTGCACATTGACCTAGAATTTGAACAAATATATCACATTAACCTTCATTTTCATCGTTTTTTGAAATAATATTTTTTTGTTACAAAATAAGTTTTTTTCTGATTTTTTTAATTTCGGCTAGGTCTTCAGCGTTGAATTTTTTTAAAACTTTTTGTTTTCTGTCTAAACTACTATGTTAACAACAAATTATTGTCTGGGACAGTAATATTGAATGCCAAAACAGTAATATTACTAATAATACTGTAACAAACAGTAGTATTATTGTCACTAGACACGGCTATGGGCCGGTTTTCAGCCCAGAAGCATCCCGAACAACCGGTGAACCGACCCGTCGTCCTCGGAACTGGCCCGGTTCTAGAAATAGGTGAACCGTGAACCACCGGGCCGGCCCGGCGGTTCACCCGGATTTAAAAAATAAATTCAATAAAAAAAATAACGGCTAGTGGACCGGCCGTTATTTGTTTCTTTTTTACTCAATTCAGTAAGGATTTTCTTGTC